CCTAGTCAGGACTTTTATATATATTTTATATTATATATAGCTGGCATATATATAATCTTGAACACAAATGGGAGTGTATTATAAATACTGTTTTATGCCTTGCTTTATTCGCTGCACAATGTTTTAGAAATCTTTATATTTGAGCATATACAATTTAGTGTGATTTATTTTAAAAGTTTTAGATATACAGAAAAATTATGAAAATAGTAGAGGATTCCCACACCCAGCTTCCTCTATTATTCTATCACATCAGATAGGCAGGGAGGAAAAGAAGGAAGAGCAGCAAATGTAGTTCTCGGGAGTGGGAGAGTGTTTGTCTTGTCTTGTCACTTCCCTGCAAAGTCCCCAGCATCACAGGGCACCAGGTGGAAGCCCTGCTTATGGGATATTCTTTAATGATATTCACTGGTTCCAGCCTGGCTAGTTTCCAATCAGTTTCCCAATATCGAAACCATGCTTTCCGAGAGCAAGCCCAAAATGTGACTATCAGTCACCTAAGCACAACTTGAACATGAAAATGTTAAGCTTAGAGCCAACACTTCCAAAACAGGAGCACACCCCCTCCCCCATCTCTCCTGGGAGGGCCCTGTCCCTGCCTTCAATGGCAGGATCCTCATGGTGTCTGGAGCACTCCCAGGCCTCCTTGGGTCTATTCCACTCAGGGTATCCCCTGGCATGGAGCTGATGGATTCATTGTCACTAAAGCGTCAAGAACTGATAGTTGCCATTATATCCAGTATGAGTATTACATTTTGAAGGCGAAAAAAAAACCCTTATCCTAAAGGTATAAATCTCTAAAGGTAGAATTCAGCCATCACGATCCAGGAGAGCAGGGGAGATACACACACACAATATGGGTTTCAGCCCACCCCACCAGTCACACGGGAAGGACTCTCCCATTTACATCGAGAGCAAGCCCTGGGCAGAGGGACAAACCCAGTGCCTTGGAGGGGCCAGAATGTCGGACTCCATGAAACAGACTCCTGCCCGGCAGGAGGAAAACTGCTCCTTCACACGTCACAGAAGATGAGCTCAATGTGGCTGGAAGCAACGGTCTTCAGCGATGCAGAAAAATCAAACTGCTTGTTCTGGACGTTAGAATACACAAAGAACAAAAATGCCTGACTCCACAAAAGACACTGTCTGAAACGTGTTTCCTGTCACAGCCACCTGCCTTTTCATTAGGGTTCCGGGTTCTGTCTCATTAAACAGAAGGGTTGATTCAGTTGGGTCCATCTAATTATTCTTACTAAAATATGTAACCATAATATTTTAATTGTAAATTAAAGCTGCATGCATGAATGAATCTGAATTCATTTTAATTTTACAATGGCCCGCTGCCAAGACCATTTTTATAGGGACGATTCATCAGCTGGGATACTGCTCTCTCGGGAATTCAAACCAACGTGCAAATGGAACATGTTTAACTAACAAGGGAGGCTTCGCACTCCCTGTTCTCCTCTCTCCAGATTTATTAGAGTAATAAAGCTATTTTAAAAAGATAGACTTCATTTGATGGTCACCCCCCCCAAATCTTGGAATAAAAAGAAAATTTACCAAACTTCTAGGCTGGCACTGCCAGTTAAGGCGGAACTGAGATGTCACTCCTGGGCCATTTGAATCTTGAACAAGGTCTCAATTCAGGTGCCATCCTCATGATTAATTAGTAATATTGGCTGTGGGCGCCGTGTGCTTACACACACACTGTCACCAAGGTCTAGATTCTAGAACCATCGGTGATATTGCAGGCAGCCCTTCCATACGCAGTTAGGTGGGACCTGCATTATTTTCCACTAAACCACCACCAGCCACCAGGATATTTAAAGGCTCAGCCAAAACCTCCTCCACTTCTAACTGGCACTGAGGACAGGCTGCTGGTGGGGTAGGTGGTGAGCTAAAAATACCTTTGATAATTGAGGCTGTAGGAAAGCCTTCTTGACTTCTAAGCTGAGGCCTGAAGGGTAAGGAGGAGTTAGCCAGTCAATGTGGTGTGAAGGCTTGGGGAAGAGAGAGTCTTCCAGGCAGTGGGGAGAACATCTGTGAAAACCCAGGGGCCCAAAGTGCAGAGCATTCAAGACTCGGAAATAAGCTCCCAAAAGAGTGAGAAGGACGCTGGGATGGGGAGGGGCAGAAGATGAGCCTGGAGAAGGAAGCGGGGTCACGTCTTAGAGGGTCTCAGAAACCACATCTAAGAGTTTTGACTTTGTTCTAGAAGCAATGTGGTAGGAGCCCGGAGATCACTCCGGCCGCATGTAGAAAATGGACTGATACGTGATGAACAATAGTACATTACAATACATCCAGAATCTAGTCTTGTTATTTCTTGCTGAGAGGCCAAAGTAACCCTGTGAACATTATACCTGTTTCTCCCTACAGCATTTTTTTCCTTTTCAGCGGAAGGACTTTCCAGTTTAAAATTCCTTAATGTTATAATATTATTACATAATTATTTATAATAAATGACTTTTTAAAAAAGATTTTATTGGGGAATTTGAGGAGGGGAACAGCGTTGGGGAATCAGGAAAGTAGAACAGACAAGTTGCTGTCCTTTTGTTCTTCAGTCTAGTTGCAGAGGACGTCATTTCACTGGCCCATGTTGGTATTATCATTGCGCTCTTCCCAGCTGAGGCAGATTGGTCGCCGGCCACTGGACAGTCACTCACAGCAGCTCTTGGCAGCTCACGCTGGCTGCTGGCTGTTCACACTGGCTGCAAGCCACTCATGGTAGCTTATGGCAGCCCACTGCAGCTCCACTGCAGCCTACGTCGTCGTCGGCAACTCATGAAAGCCTAGCTCCAGATGGAGCTGTTGTTCACCATCTTAGCTGTAGAGGGCGCAGCATTACTGGCCCACATGTGGGATCCAAACCAGGGCTTTGTGGCTCAGAGCTGGCATCCCAAGCCAACTCTTAACCAACGCGCCACTCGGCCTGCCCTATAATAAATGACTTTTGCAAGATCAATAAAATGCTTTCTTTATGTAGTTCGTCAAAATTTGGGTCTAGTTTTATTCATTGAAATGAGCTTATCATAAAAATCAAGTTTTTATTATAAACCAACCAAGCAAAAACAAAAGCAAAAAAACTCTAATTAGAAAAAAGTCTTCATGTGGCTTTCATTGGTAGTTTCTTCCCCCCAAGAGAACAACTTTTAAAATGTGCCTTTGGAACAGAATGGCATGACCTCACTCCCTTGGCACAGCTGCCCAGCAGTCAGGCCCACGCAGATGTGTAGTGAAGAATTTACCTCAGGGAGGTCTGGCCTCTGCCCTCGGCTACGGGGAGGTACTCTCTAGACCCCTGACAGGAATATCTTTGTTTGCCTGGGCTTTGGCCACTGGACAGTCTAACAATGTGAGTATGGTAGAGGCTTAGGGCCACACTGTATCAGTGGTGACCTCTGGAGGAACTCGAGACTAACGGTGTTAGCTCGAACCCAAGAGGAGTGGAGCCCAAAGGCCAGCCACACAGTAAAAACTGAGCCCCAATAAAAACTCTGGACACCAAGGCTCGGGTGAACTCCCCTGTGTGCACGGTCACACATCAATGCCGAGGAGGTGACTCCATAGGAGAGGACAACCACATTTGGACCCTCCACATTTGGACCCCTCCCAACTTTGCCCTGTGTGTCTCTTCCTTTGATTGTTTCTCATTGGTGTCCTTTCCCTGTAAAAAACTGTAACCATGAGTATAATAGCTTTCAGTGGGCTCCATCTTTCCCGTGAATTATCAAAACTGAGGATGGTTTGGGGAACCCCGGAACTTATCATTGGTGTCAGTCATATGGGGACCTGTAGTTTGGCCAACTTCACAGAGAAGGCATTCCCTGAACCTAGCAGCTTGGTCCCAGTATTGTTTAACACAGGGACAGAGAAAAAGTACATCTGGTCCTGGTATTGTGTGGGGTTACCTCGGGGGGAGCGCTAGGGGGACTAACTGGAAAAGGGACATGAGGTACCTTCTGGGGTGCTAAAAACATCTATATATACCTTGACCCAAGTGGTGGTTAAACAATATACATAAGAGAAAATCCACTGAGCTGTACACAAAAGATCAGGGCATTTTATGCATTTTTACTGTACTAATATATTATACTCAATTCTAAAAAGTTTAAAAAACAAACAAACAAAAACACTGTCTTTGAAAATGGGGGAGCCCAGCCGGTAACTAAAGGGTGGAAGTGGGCTAGACTACTGAGGAGGACCTGAACCCAACTATGGGGCTAAACGAAAAGATGTTACATCTAACAAAGAAGCTTCTGGAAGGATTCTCCAAAATAGATTGTTTACTGCTTTAAACTTGGCCAGGCCAAACAGGACCAGGCGGCCACGTGGCTTTGTCTGTGAGCGCGCACATGCTCCCTAAAAAGGCCCGAGTGCCTCTGCTCAGTTTCATTAGGCTCACCTAGTGATGACATGGAGTGATGAACAGTTGGGCAGGGTAGGACAAATGCATACTTCTGAGGGACGGCTACTCAGCAAAGGGCTGGTAGGGTGGTGTCCTACGCCCCTCCCAGTCGACAGAAGCCCAGGAAGCTGGGATTGGAGGTCTGAGACGCCAGGCTGGGTTTGGGAAGGGAAGGCCTTCCCTAATTGTGTGACACGCGATCCAAGAGGCGACAAGCTGGGCAAAACTCAAACTAACGGCAGACAGTCTCCCTGGGTTGTTACCAGAGGTGGGGGAATTCAGGACTGAGGCAGCGGGGTAGAAAACCAGGAAAGCAAGCCAGAGGGAGGCTATCTAAAGCGAAGGTGGGAGGCAGAGTCTGGGAGAATTCTGAGTCATGGAAAAAGATGCTTTTAAAAGCAGTGGGTGGGAGTGAGCTGAAAGACAGTTCAGACACTGGAACCAAAGAATGCGGTCCATGGATGCACCAATGCTGGGGAGGGAGGCAGTGGGTGCAGGAGGGTGGGCGTTTTGTTCATTCATTAGCCCTCCTCTACGATGCCCTACAATACCCTGACTCCACCAAAGATTTAGGGTTCGTGACTAAAGAACTAACCTGCAGTGAGTCAAAATGCAGAGACTATTTATTTTTGGATTTGTGATGACATACCTCTTTCTGTTGTTCTGGAAACATCTTCAGCACAGGCCACGATCAATCTGAAAAATAAGATACCAACACTCAGTGATGTGGAACCTCCATCCTGGAGCAGGTGAGCCTCTCATGACCTCCCGCCCAAACCCCCCGAGGGAGCCTGCCTGCCCACAGTCTCTGAAAGGGAACCCTCCACTGCTCCCTCCCTCCTGTCCACTGCTGGCCAGACTGAGGTAAACATCGGTCCACACGGGGGATGGGGAGTTTGGGACATGGCAAGTCCAAGGCAGGTGGATGATGACAGGCCCTCAACGTGGAAAGCCAGGCAGTCAGGCTAGAGTTGCAGCCTTGGTGAATCGGAGGAGGCTGGAGACGCGGGGGAGCACAGGGTCCCTGAGGGGCAGTGGGGGCTGCCGGTCGGCACAGATGGAGAGAATGAGAAAGATGCCCGCAGAGATCTACCACTGAGAACAGCCCTGCCGGTTTTATCAGCAGCTCAAACTCTCAAGGAACACGTCCTTCTTGTGACATTTAAACTTCTCCAGAGTTCGGATAAGAGATGGCGTGGTCCCAAGGGGTCCTGGATTCTGACCTTCCAGTCAGTGCCATCAGCCTACCAGTTGATTCCAGGTCCTGCATGTCCCGGGGTTGCCTACTGTTCTTTAAACCCCCACTTATTACAAAAGCTCGCTGAAGTAACATCCGCTCCCTGCCAAAATGAAAATGAAATCCCCGGGGCCTTTGGAGCGCCTTCTTTTGCTCGGCCCGCTCCAAACTCTTTGGAGTGCACTTGCTCTTCTAATAATGGCCCTTGAGTCATTCTCTACTGCTCAGGCCCGCTTCTATTTCTTTGAAGTGTACTATCTCTTCTAATAAACTGCTCTAAAGACCCCTTTTAGAAATAAGATCGCATTCACAGGTTCCAGAGGTTAGCGTGTGGACATATCTTTTTGGCGGCAACAATTCAAGCCACTCCACCCTCCACGAACCCTTCCCCTCAGCTGAGCGGGCCTGGTCACCATCTCTGGACTATCCCCCGTGCTTTAGTTGGTGCATGCTATCTCACATCTGTTAGGCTCCTTTCTGTGAACACTGAGATTCCCCTGTTCTCCCTGCCTTTTCCGTGGGTCCTCCTGCCCACTCCAGATGAAAGGAACTTCCTTCTCCTTGGACCGCCGCCTGCTGCTCGTGGGTGCTTCTCTCGCCTCCTGTGGGAACTCCGTTCCTCTGTCTGCTGTGGGCTGTCTCCTGCCTACACCATGTGAGGCTGGAGGCCAGAGCTCGTGTTCTTGCTTCCTCATATTCCCTTCACTGCCAAGGATGTTAGTGGAGACTTAGGAAGTATTTGTGGATGATAATAGTTATCTGGAAAATGTGGTCAGACTTAGTATTGTCAAAATAAAGGCAAATAGTGACTACACAGCCATAGTCACCTTTCAGTGGTAAGAATACATATGCGTGCATATAGTCAGGGGATTTAATTTTTTTTTTTAAGTGGTGAAGGTAGGTGGGCCCTAAATCCAACAACAAGTGCCCTTATAAGGGACACAAGCGGAGAAGACACACACCCACATCCAGAGAGGCCATGTGAAGATGGAGGCAGAGACTGGAGTGACGCAGCCACAAGCCAAGGACACTTGGAGCCACCAGAGCCGGAAGAGGCAAGAAAGACCCTCCCCTCGAGCCTCCAGAGGGCGCACAGTCCTGCTGACACCTTCATCTCAGATCTCTGGCCTCCAGAATTGTGAAAGAATAAATTTCTGTTGTTCAAAGCCACCAAGTTTGTAGTAATTTCTTATGGCAGCCCTAGGACATTAGTACAGAGGTTTGTGGAGATTCGGTTGGAAAGATCGGCTGGGGTTGTAATGGAGGAGTGAGGAATTCATTCATTCAGAATATTTACGGAGCTCCTACCCTGTGCCATGTGCCGGATGAGAAGTGGGACACACAGTGGAGTACAGAGCCGGCTCAGAGCTTATGAGATGACTTCATAATTATAATGTGGAAATGATATGAAAGGAAAGGAAAGGACACTCCGGTATAAGAACAGAGGGACTGAAGGGGGTAGTGGGGACTGTTGGTTTGGAAGGATTTACTGAGAAAGTAGCACTTAAGCTGAGGCCTAAAGGATAGTGTGATTTAGCCAGGAACGCAAAAGGAGAAAGACACTCTGAGCAAAGCCACTGGCATGTGCAAAGGGGCAGAGGCTGGAAGGAGCAGCAGCTCAAGGGTTCGAGTCATTGCAGGGATTCCTGAATCAGATGCAAGTGGACCGAGGCTGCCTCCATCTCAGGATCTGGCCACATGCCCTACCCACACCACGCTGCTCCACACAACAGACCCTCTGCTCTGGTGGGTCCTCTCCCCTCAGGCCATCATGCCTCCCTCATTGCCCTGCAAACTCCTACTCCTCTTCCATGATTCTGCTCCGAAATCATTTCCCCTCTCCTGCCTGCCTCTTTCTCCCTACACAGCGCGTGTACAGTCAGGCCCCTGTTAACATAACCTCACTTGCATCACAATATTTGCATATTCTGTCTCCCCAACTGATTGAATTTCTCCAACAGAGCATATCTGTGTTTCCTTGTGTAATTAAACTTCACAACCATCTGGTGAGAGAGATTTGAATGTCTTCACTGTCTACACAACTTAAGAAGACGGAAGCAGAAGGATTAAGCTGCCCAAGGTCACACAGGGGAGACAGCGCAAGTCCAGTGCCAGCTCAAGCCAGCCTGCTTTCCAACCCTGCCCCTTCCACTGCCCGAGGCTGCCTCCATGATTGTGTGATATGAACCAATGCTTCGAAGTGTGGGTTTTAATTCTCCCTAAAGGGCCTGAGCCTTTCCCACCCAGGCAGGACTCTGTAATTCTAATACGGTGTTGGCCACACTGAGAGGCTACAGACCAAGTCAAATTGTGAAAGCAGGAAACTGAAAAGTTTAAACCAAAACATCACCAAGAACCATTAATATCTTAAATCTGGATAGTGGGATGTGGGGGATGGCTGGAGGGGGAAAGACTTCCATTTTTTTACTCCACGTACATGTACCATATTGTTTGACTTTTTCCAGTTAACACACATTATTTTTATGCTTTTGGAAGTAACAATTATTTAAAGAAATTAAACACCATAATTCTGTCAGAGGAAATAGTGACTCTAACAAATTATGGGCGATTTTTTTATTTCATGGAAAATAAAAAGCAGATTCAAATATACGACGAGATGCTACCTTTATAACACAACATAAAATGCTGCCTGGTACTGCACCTTGCTATGGCATTTACTGATGCGGAGAAGGAAATGAAATGATAGCACAACAGTAGGTTTGTCTATAATTCAACAAACCAAAGCTGCTAATTAGAAACTGCCCCCCTGAACAAAACTATACCCACCTGATGGGTTGTCAAATTTTAGATTTGTTTAGATTTTCAAATTTCCCAGCCTAGCCCATGTGTCTGGGAGAGTTCTTGCCTCACCGAAAGGTTTTTATGCCAACAAGTATGGAAACCTGCCCCCAGGAGACCATCAATGAGGCCTCTGTCCTTGGAGCATTTTATGTTCCCACCACCAGCGGGGAACCACAGCACACCCAGATGGTCACCCACCACAATCCACTCTCCCTCCCATTTACCTTGCTCACAAGAATTCCTAAACCTCACAACCATTCCAAATAACACGGATGATCTCTCAAACCTGTTGTTCAAGTTAGAGTTGAGTTCCCACAGATTACAGGTATCTGAGTTGCCCCTGCACTGAAAAACATGGCAGCTACGGAGACTCATCCGAGAGACTCAACACGTGCCTTCACAACTCTACCACTGCCTTGAGAGTATGATTTGCCCAAACCAGAAACGTCAAGAGAAAACTGCCTCCATTTTCCACTTTGGAATATTTTCTCTATAACATACAAAATATCTGTGAAACAAAGTTAGAATTCTGCAGAGCAGGGGTTGGCAAATTTTTTTCTATAAAGGGTCAGGTGGCAGATACCGGAGGCTCTGTAGGTCACACAGTGTCTGCTGCAACTCTTTGAGTCTGCAATTGGTAGTGAGAAAGCACCCACAGATGATCAGGAACCAAATGGACATGGCTGTGTTCCAGCAAAACTTTATCTACAAAAACAGGTGGCGGTAGTTCGCAGATCCTACCTATTGAGCAATGAAGTACTGTGCTTTCAATTCTATACCTTAATAAAGCCCTTTCTTAGATCCTAACAGGAAAAAACTTTCATAGTGCTAAACTTGATCTGTACACCTACGGGCGGTGTCCTCTCTGACAAGCAAACCAAGAATTTGTAGACTACACATGTGGGTGGAGTGAGAAAGGATTACATACTTTTCCAATGGTGAAATCAGGAATAACAAGTATTGTTTATATTATCCTTTAAAATGAAAATGAAGTGGGGGGGAGGTGGTAAGTAGCATAGTTTTGGGTTTTCCTACCATCCC